AGTCATTAAATTTCTCAAGAATAAAAAAAAAATTTAATAAATAAACTTTTAACACAAATAAAAATGAATACTTTTGTTTGAAATAATTAATTGTTGAATAATAAACTATGGAAATAAATAAAGTTATCTCGCTTGTATATAAACTTAAATTTTAGAAAAATGTTAATGAAATAATGCAGAAATAAAACTTATAAAGAATAACAAAAATATAACAGAAAGTTAAAGAATATTTAAACATAATGATACGAAGGAAATAAATAAAAGAATTAAAGAAAATATTAAAGAATAATAAGGAGAAGTAATATTTAGAAGACATTCAGAAGAAACATTCGAAAAACACAATCGGAAGACATTCAGAAGTAATATTCAGAAGAAACATTCGAAAGACACATACAGAAGAAATATAAGGAAGAAATATATAGAAGTAACATTCAGAAATAATATTCAGAAGAATATTCAGAAGATATAAAGATATATGATAGTTAGAATTAGTCATAGAGAGAATAAAAAGAAAGAAGAAAATAACTTAAAGAATAATTTGATTAAAGATTAAATGATAATAACATTGAAAAGAAATTATTAAAGAAAATTATCGCACAACGTGAAGGAAAAGATTCTCAGCAATTAAAAATTAATTTGTAAAACAATTCTCTTGATGACGAGTGGCAGAAACGATCAAGAAGGTATAAGCTATGTTAAAGCTTATTGAAATTAAAAATGCTATACATTTGTAAAATAAGGGTTATAGCAACTACAATGTGCTTGTAATTTTATTGGCTAATTTTTTATATTGAACTGTTCAGTATATAACATAAATATTATATATATAAACTCATTCTATACCGAACTGAATCTTCTGAAATGAAAGGTTCGTTATAACCAGAGGTGACTGTATTATTAAAATTAATATTTAATATTTATAAAGAAATTAACACTTTTTTTTAACTTCATAGGCAAATTTACCTGCTTTACAGTTAAAGGGATAATAAATTAATTAAAATAATCTTTAATATATTTTTTAACTTTTTTATTTTTTTTATTTTTCAAAAAATATACATAATTTAAGTGATTTTATATGAATATTTTAATTTTTTACTTATTTTTTTTTTTATAAAAAAATTATATTTGTTTTTTTTGAATTAAGAAATATATAAAGAAATTTTAGTATTTAATTAGTATTTTACAAAAAAATCTGGTCTGATCTAAATTTTAATCTAAATCTAATAAATTAGATTAAATCAGATTATTAGTTTCAAATCAAATTCAGATCTAGATTTAGATTTGATCTGATTTATTAGATTAAATTTATATTCAGATTTAGATTTAATTAGATTTAATTTATTTTATCAGATTTACATTTAGATACAAATTTAATATATTAAATTATATATAAAATCTATCCCTTTATCTTTTCTCTAAAAAAAACTTACAATAAAATTTTTTCTTTTAAAAAATTTAATAAAGAAAAATAAGTTTCTGATTTTTTTTAAGCTAAAAAACTATTTTTTTAATAAAGAAAAACATTCTAGTATTTATTTTAAAATTGAAAATTATTTTTCTTTAATAAAGAGAAACAGTTTAATATTATTTAGAATAAAATTTTTAATAAATAGAATATATTTAATATATTTAATTTTATAAAATTCAAAATTATTTTTTTTAATTAAGTAAAATAAATGTTTTCAGATTTTTTTACTAAAAAATCATTTTTCTATTATTTTATTTAATTAATTTAATTTAATTTTTTTAGATTTAAATTAATTCAGTATTAGATTTATCAAATTTAATTTTATATTGATTAAATTTGAATTTAGATTAATTTGATTTATTAGATTTAGATTTAAATTTAATTTAATTTTAAATTTAGATCATATTTAATTTTGAAATTATCAGATTTAAATTAAATCTAATCTAATTTGATTAGAACTTCTAATAAATCAAATCAAGTTAAGTTTTAAAAATAATTTAACTCAATTCAAAAAATTAAAGTTAAATCAAGTTAAGTCAAAAAAAATATTAATAAATTTGACTTTGAGTTATATTTAAATTTAAATTAACTTAATTTGATTTAAATTATATAAGAATTTTTTAATAGAAAGATATAATATTTTAAAAAAAAGTTTTTTTTTAAATTAATGTTAAATTTTAACTTATTTTACTAAAAAAATCATATTTAGCTTATAAAATAAAATTTCATTTTTTTAGAGTTTTGTATTGTTAATATGTGATTTTTGCAAATCACAATGATAGATAAGGCATTCAAATGATTGCTTTTTATTGGTAGCTTACTGGGTTTATTAAAATAATTGTAATAATATGTATATTTTTAAGTAAAAGAACACTTTATAAATCATAAATTATGTAGCAATTTATTATTATATTTCTAATATTATGCATGTAAAATAAGTTTATTAAAGGTAAGATATATATAATAATAATAAATAAAAGAATAATGAAAAGATGAATAAGCACATTAGCACTGGGCTAAAAGAAATCCAACTCCTTCCAATTCTAATATTTATAAAGCATAATATTTATATATTTCTAATTACTATAATAACAAATTAAATATATTAAATAAATAAATTATATTTATTATGCTAATTATATTAACAATGTCAATAATGTTATTAATGTTAACAATGTTAACAATATCAATAATGTCATTAATGTTAATTATATCAATAATGTTAAAAATATCATATAATATACAGTATATGTAAGTCAATTTGTAGATCATCTAGTAAATCAATTTAGTGAAACATGTTGATCATTTATTATGTCACATTTTCTTAGATTATTAAAATACTATAATAGTATCTTTCTATTGTAAATGTTCATATTTTAAAATTAATATATTACATAATATACAAATTATTATATAAATGAATATTTAATTTTATAATTTTTTTGATTGCAATTAAATAAAATTTTATTTAATTAGTTTTATTTATATAAAAAATATATATATATATAAAAATGTATAAATTATTGATTAAATAAATGTTTATTTATATGTAAATTATATTAATCAAATGTAAATTAATCTTTATTATACAGAAATATTAATTAAATCAACCAGTTTTAATAAATTCATTTTCATAAATTATTATTTTTTTTTTTAAAACTATATTTTAATTTTTTAAATTTTATTCAATTATTTTTTTTTCAAATTCTATTTTAATTTTTTAAATATTATCCAATTATATTTTTTTTAAGTTCTATTTTAATTTTTTAAACTTTACTTAGTTATATTCTTTTAAACTCCACCTAATTATATTTTTACATTTCTGTTTCAATTTTTTAAACTTATCTGATTATATTTTTAAAAAAAAAGTTAATTATCATTACAAATAATTTTATTTAATTATATAGTTAAATATGATAAATATTAGGTCATATAATTTGATTATTAAAGTGATTAAACTACTAAATTTAAATTATATAATAATAAACAATTAAAATAAGAATTAGAGTAGTAATTAGGATTATAATTAATGTAAAAAGTAGGGTAAGAATTAGTAAATTCTTTTTTATTAAATATTACTATAAAAGTAGGATTCTTAATAAAAAAAATTAAGAATTTGTAATTTGTAATATTTCAATAATAAAAATTTATTATTAATTTATTATAATACTATAATTAATGTAATACAAATATGTGATTATATAACTTGATAAAATTATCAGTGTGATTTTCATTTTTTAAAACTTATTTTAATTTTTCAAATTTAATTTAATTATATTTTTTAAAACTTTTAAAACTCTATCATTTCAAATTTTATCCTATTATATTTTCAAACTCTACTATTTTAAACTTTATCCTATATATTTTTAAACTATTATTTCAAATTTTATTCTATTATATTTTTCAAATACTATTATTTCAAAATCTGTTTGGATTTTAAGATTAAATTTTTTATTTATTTAAATAGATTTTGATTTTAGGATATTTGAATTTAAATAAGTAATTTATTTATAAAAGAAATTTTGTGTTTTTTTTATTGTTGTTTTAAGGATATTATAATTAAATTTTTTTTTTTTTTTTTAAAAAAGATATTTTTTTTTGATTTTTGAAGTGATACTTTTAATTATTATTTTTTTAAATTCTAATTTTTAAAAAAAAATAAAATCAAATTTATTATATGAGGCAGACTGCAACAAAATCAGACAAAATGAATATTCCATAAATGAGGGACTGATTGTGTTGTGGTTGTAAAATTGACCAGTGTGACTGATGACATTTTGAAAAGTAATAACAGTGCTCATTCATAACTTATGTGAAGTTAGAAAAACCTTCTCTGCAGTCGATTTTTCTAGGAATTCTACTCAAATCAGTTGGAACTTAAATCTGATTTATATTCCTTTGGATACTTTTAAGAGCATCTGAAGTTAAAACCTTGGACTTGTTAAATTTAATGTTCATTTTATCATACCATAATGTGATGAATATAAACCATAACAGGATTAATATAAGCCTATCTCTATATAAAAAATATAATATGAAACTAATTTACATCAAATCCACTATGGAACCCAAGAATTACAGCACTATTCGAAGTATTCTAAAGAAAGCTTAAGGAGAAAAAATTTCTCCATATATTTTAAAAATCAACAATACCCAAACACTCCAGGAATATTTAGATCAAGAAAAAATCACTTATGAAGTTTAAATTACTTTCTTAATTTCAACCAAGATTATTTCTTAGTTTCTTTAACCTCAATTTGAGCAATATGCTAGGTTTGTTGCTTTCTTAAGAATTCAACCTCATTTTCAAGTCTTTGAATTTTAGTTAACAATTCTTGCTTTTGTTTATTATGTCAATTCTTTGACACTTCTAAGGCTTCTAAATGAGAATTGATTTCTTCTTTTGCACTGGCTAGTTGCTGTTTCAAGTCTTTATTTTGCTGTTCCAATCTACCCACATAACTTTGTCTCATTATCTCAGCTACTGAAAGAGTTTTAATTGGTTTATTTTTTCTTAAATCACAAAAGCAATTTACCCTGTTTCTCATAGCTCAATCACAATCATTACAGTGTGACAAGGTGCCATTATCAAGATCTCCTTTACATTCAATACAAATATAGACAATATCATTATAGCCACTAGTTTTGGTATTGTAGGCTACCATTTCATAAGTAGTAATTGAGTTTTTATTGCTCTCAAAAGAACAGAAATTATAGTGCCAACTGTCCCCTCTTCCCAACTGACTGATCTGATATTCTAATTTCATGTTACTTGCTCTTTTGTAAGATATAAGCATTAAATTTCTCCTTAACTATTTCCTTAGTTTGGTTTACTTTACTTTTTATCTTACCACCTAACAGTTTAAACTTATTAGTTTTTTTTGGTAAGACTGGTAATTCTTGAAGTTGTTTATATGCTACATAGTTCTGTCATGCCAAGAAATTTTCTAGTAATTTTATTGTTGCAAAAGCTTTGTCCAAATTATCTTCTTTGGCTTTGATAGTCTCTGTAAACAAACTAACTTTGGGTTTTCATCTTTCTAATCTACTTACTTCTAAGGCCTTTTCAGCTTCTTCTCGCTTCATTTCCACTTTATCTTCCAATTCTTCTACTCTGAATTCCAATTTCTTTTGCTTAGTTTCTAACTCTTTATGCTTGATTTCTAATTCTACAACCTTTGGTTCTAACTCAGCATTCCTTTCTTCAAGTTTTTTATTTTGTTTGGAAACATGACTATAGGAATCACAATTAAGTAATGTTCACTCCGTAAAACCTTTAACCACATTTTTAAGAGTGAAATTATTACCAAAAGTAATTTGCTCAATTCCGTTTTCTCTTTGAACATTCACTCACTCATCTTTAGGTCAAAAATGTTGTTGTAAGGTCATTAAAGTGCTAGCAATTTCTGGATTTTCACTTTTCATAACATTGTGAATGGCATTATAAATTTTTAGTTTGAAGTTTTCTCCTTTATCAACTAGTTGCTTCTTTAATACTTCGTTTTCTTCTAATAGGTTTTTATTTCTCTGTTCGAGTTTGTTTATGATGTTTACCATACTTTTTTTATTTTATTTACTCTTTTTATGATACTTATATTTTTTTTATGAGGAAATATTAAGTATATAATTATTTTAATAATTTTATTCATTGTCAGTATATGTTGGTCTTGGACAAGTAATATCTTTAAATTTATCTTTAACGAATGGGCGAATATTATGATAAAGATAGTCTTGCCTTTTGTAATCCAAAGGAGGAGGGGTTAGTACCAGGATGGAAAAGGATTTAATTTCTTTGGTAATTTCAGAAACACTTGCTTTTCTGGTTTTCAACAAGTTAAATTTAGTAAAAGCACCATTAGCCACCAGCTGAGCTTTGACAATTCCAGGTCGAGCTGCTTCAAATAGAAAATGTTAATATTTTTGTAAACCAATCAATTTCTTAAAGAAAATTCCCAATACAGAATTCAGATCTAAATATTGAAAGCCTTCGCCGTTTTTATAACACTGAGCTTTGTTTAATCCTGCTATACTCGATTTTTTCACGACCTCAACGATATGGTCTATACAATCTACTGTCATCTTTCGGTAAAGTTTCTTAATCAGTCCGAAACTACCATCACACTTGAATTTAGTATGTCCAGGTACCATGAAATTTAATTCGATACTTTCATAATAGCCGCAAATTACTAAATATAAGTAAAATCATATAGTAGTATTGTTTTTATTTTGTCCTCCCGCGTTATCGCAAGTAATCTTCAAATGTTTTTCGCCTTTATTCAATCGCTTAATCCCATCGAATACCATGCACAATGTGCTATTAGGACCTTTGCCGATAATTTCATCTTCATCGAGAACATAATTAATTTGTTCGCGTACTGCTTCATCTTGAATACCAAATAAATGCACCTTACGCAGACTAAGATAATAAATCTTACTTACCTGTTGGTCGGAATGGGGTACGTGAACATTTTGTGTCCAATCGTAACTGTAATGAGCAGTCGCGTCAACACTACATTAATCAGCTTTACCTCTTATTATAAAATGCTTGTCTACCAATTTTCTCTATTGTTCTGCTAATTTCGTATTTTTGTTATAATAATTTCTCTCTAATTTAGCCTTAACTAAATGTTCTTTGAATTTTTTTAGTAAGTCTCTCGCTTCTTCTTCCTTGCGAGCATTGTATTGTAAGCCGTTTCGAAAATGTTGGCACGTGTTGCATAAATCCGTTCGTGGACTCATAGTTTGAATATAAGGCATTAATTGGTGCCATAACTTGCGAAATGCATCATATTTTAACAATTTCAATGTGCTATCATTTTCAAGACCTGCAATAAAATCACGATAGACCGATTTATAACTCGTTTCGGCTGGCAAAAGTGTAAGCGATTGAGTAATTCGGTTGACATTTCTACTAGGACTTGGTAATCCATGAATTTTAGCGTAATTTTCGAGAAAATTCTTCACGGCGGTAGCAACGGTTATATCAATGGTTATTTTGGTTTTTCATCGTGGCACTTTTTTTACATTACCATGAACACGCGGTATTATACCATTTGTTGCTAGGTGATTTCTGACATTTTTCAAATGAGTGCGACCAATTCCTAACATATTGAGGTAGGTCTTTTGACAAAGAGATGTATTGCGATCTCAGTAGTAAAATGTTCGCTTATTAGTACGCGTTTTCTTTTAAGACGTCGACTGGCAGTTACTTCTCCACCATTCATTGTTTTCAACTGGGCCATTATAAATATATCTTGTTCAGATCTGGAGAGAGCTTGAAACGCCTCACGTAATTCGGCAAACCTCTCTCTCGGAATCATTTTCGAGCAACCACATTTGCAACCTGTCTCCAAGAAATGTATTGCTTTTTCATGTTCGGTGGAGCCATTATATTCGTTATTTATCATATACGGGTAATCCTATATATAAGTTTTATTGCTTTTAGTAGCTTATATTGCTAAAAGCAAGTATAATCAAAAACGCGCTTTTGAAAATTTAAACTGGTACATAATTATTAATTTCGACTTTTAAAGCAAACTGATTGACAACTTCAAATGTTATACTTCAAATGTATGGACGAAATTAAAAACAGGCGATCAATACTAATACAAGGAAAAGCAACTAAAGCAATTTGTTTATTGCATTCATTGGCACATGCATACTAAACTAAGTTCTTAGATATAGAGTAGTGATTTTGTCTGAAATTATATGAATTATTGATTTCTCAGCATGTATGCAAATCAATTCTAATATCAATATGTTATAAATGAGTTATTAATCATAATTACTCAAACAAATTTATATATACTCTTTGCAAGTCATTAATCTTCTGGTTTCCACGAAGACTCTTACAGAGTATTCCTTCATGTTCTCTGACTCCTTTTCTCTTTGTTCTAATCGCACCTCTTTCTCTTTGTATCTTTGTAGCCTTATAGGGTAAATTTATAGACTGTTTGGATAAGATGTTAAAATAATTAATTGAAGTTTCAAAAGTATCCTGAAAAGATTGTACAAAAATCACACTTACAGCTGGAAGATTAAGTAGATCTTTCAGTGTAGCCATTTCTTGTGAAAGCCTCTTCTTGTCACTGGTTTTCTCTGAAAAGGCAAAATCAATGAAAGAAACTCTGAACCTATCACTTCCATGTTGAATAAGGATATTCTCCTCACGAATGTCATTGTGTAATATACCATAATGATGGATTGCTGAGAGAGCTCTTGTAATCTCCAATCGTTCTGCATATTCCAACAACTCTACTTCTATTGCATTGCTTACAATCTCTGTTGCAATACCAAAAAGCATATGATCCCATAGGTATCCAGCTGCTTTAAGTATTGGGATGTATTTCCCTTGTAACTCTTTTAAAGTATTGTAAGTCGCCACCTCATTGAGTAATTCTTTCTTAAACTCTGGATGTTGTGATATATCAGAAATCTTGAGAGCAATCTCCTCCCCACACCACTCAACCTTTCGCACAATTCCACTATGCCCAAACCCAAGAACATCTTTTTTATGAAAGTCAAAATAATTCAAGTCTTGCACTTCAATATCTCTTGCTGACTGACTTTTATGTTTTCCTCCACGGCAACTGAATTTAGAACCACCAGGAGAAGAAATACTGTTAGAGGGTCCAGTAAAGGAACCACCATAGTTGTCAGTTTGGCAGCGACGGTTACCTCGAGTTCCAGCAGCGGGACCAGACTGATTGAGAGATGCAGAAGAATCAGTATCAGGGCAGTTGGGGTCTTGAACTGCTTCTGACATAATATAAGAGAAACAGTGAAACAATGATGGATCTCGGTATTCAGCCTTGATACAGGGTGATACATACAGTGTACCCCGTTCTTTAACATTCTTCTTAAAGAACCAAGTTCGGTTATATGTTGTAAGAACACCAAACTTACGATAATTCAATGACATGTATCCATAAATCTGATGTAAACAATCTACTGAAGAATCTATTTTTTGTTCTGTATTAGTGCGAGAGTTCTTTCCGCCTTTTTTCCTCTTAATATCATTATTATATTGCTTGATAATATCATCACAATTCAAAACCCATTCTATTTTCACCTCAATAGGAAAGAGTAAAGTTGCATCTTCAAGCTCATGAAAGACAAAATCTGGTTGGCCTTCGATCTTTCCTGATAGAATCTCAAACCGAGCAAACTTCGCGGGCTTGTTGAGTTTTAATCCAATTATTCTAGACAGAGGTGCCAGCACATTCTGATTGAATGTTGCCTGTACATCAGCTTCACTGACACTCTCCAGATCTGTATGAAATGTTGGTGGATCATGTTCGGATATGGTGGAAAGTTTATGATCGCGAATAACGTTCTCAAATTCAGACCATTTAATGAGACGATTTGGTGTACGACAATAATCTGATTGCATAGATCGAGAACTTTTAGGCTTGGTTAGGTTTATGTATGTAATGGAAGGTGGGCATTGGCAGACGAAGTCAGTTTGCGAGATTTTTACTGTATGCTTGCAAACAGATATGACGAGCAAGGCATTATTAGGATGTCATCATATTACTACGCCTACTCTCTTCTATGCATGAAACCCATATTACTCTCCGCCTACTTTACCCAAGTACACACTACTCTATGTTCCCAATGCCCGAGTCACAAAGTCGTTACATTTTCCCAACAAATTTATAACAAAAAAGTATTACTATATCTACTCTACCCTATGTATACACTACTCTACGTCCCAAACGCCCGAGTCACAAAATCGTTACTTGGTTGAGTGGTCAGTGCACGTAATGCGTCACTCCACTTTACAATCTCGACACCCTTAACCCTCTTCTATGTATGAAACCCATATTACTCTCCGTCTATTCTACCTACGTACACATTACTCTATATCCCCAACGTCCAAGTCACAAAGTCGTTACCTGGCTGAGTCACTAAAACATTTAGCAATGTCTTCCTCTGCTCTAACCAATAAGTCTCTTGTTGTTCCAACACGTTCTTCTCTCCTTGGTACTCTTCCTGTTATCCACGCCTCAGTTTTTCCAACTTATCTAACTTCACATTAACTTTCCCCAATTTTTGTTTCAACTCAGCAGTGTCCATGTCTAATGAAGTAGTGTGTAAGAAGATGTGCTGCGCAATGTGATCTAATATACGAATTAGGGTATCCAGAAATATGTGGTGCAAATATATGCGCATATTTTAAAGATTTTTTCACATATGTTATGTGTCACATATTTTATA